ATTTTATAAAAACCATTTTTATTATTTTTTCTATTTTCAGTTTGTTTCACTTTTTTTTATCAAAAAATATTTTAATTAATTTTTAATATTTTTATTCGTTTACATTTTTTTAGCCTAATATATTTAAACAAGTTATTTTTATATTTTTTGTATTTTTAAATTTTATTATTTTTTGTTTCTTTTTATAATTTCATTTCATTTTATTTGATGAAATATGGATTGGATATTATCCACCGTAGCAATATGAGAAGCTATTGAGAATATATTAGGAATCAATCAATTTGAAGGAATTTGAAACTAAGTTGATTGTTTTTTTTAAGGGATTTAAGGGTGATGAGAGTAAAGTTTATAAAAAATTAGTATAGAATTTGATTGATGTGACAGATAAAAAAATGATTCAATTCGTATAAATTAAAGATTACTAAAATGCTCTTAATAATAAAAGTAATATAAAATTATAATTGTTAATAATATATTTAATGGTAAAAATTAATATAAAGAGGAAAAGAATATTTTTTTTTTAAAATGAAAAAATATATATTTAAGTAAAGTGAAATAATTGTGTTTATAATATTTTTTTAGTTAAAATCTTTGAATGATCTTTATATTTGAATCTCAATTCGGTTATCAAAGTTTAAGTTGTCTCAATTAGGTTATCATGTTTTAAAATGTGATGTAATTTGATCATTTTTCGTTAATACAGAACTAACGACATTAACTAAATGTTACGTGTCAACTTGTGATTTTTTTTATTTTTTTATACTTTTATTTTGATTTATTTTAATTAATTAATTTATTTAAAAAAATTGCCACATGTCAAATAAGGATCCGTGGTAGAGACAATGTGACGTGGCAATGATACTAGACACGTGTCATGTGAAAAATATCAATTTAATTTTTTTATTTATATTTTATCTTATTTTAGTCCTAATGTTTTCTTAAATTGGAGCAATTTCATTTCTCTCCAAATTAAAACAAAATTTAACTTTTATATAGATGTATATTGATATATTTACAAGGCTAAAAAGCCCATATTAAAAAAGTTAAGGGTGTTGCTCCCTCCACCTCCACAGCCTTCTCCCTCCACCTCCCCAATTATCTTTAATTCCAATTATATCCTTAAAGTTAAAATTTTTTATTTTTATTATTTTATTATTTTAATATTTTAATATTTAAATATAAACTAATATAAATATACATTATTAAAATACATTAAAAAGATATTCAAAAATAATAAATCAAAATATTAAAATATCTAATAAAATAATAACAGAAACATAAAATTAAAACAAAGCTTAAACGGATGACATCCTTCAACGGATGTCGACATTCGTTTAAGGCGAAACGGATGTCGACATCCGTTTGGCCTTAAACGGATGTTGACATCCGTTGAAGGATGTCATCCGTTTAGGCTTCGTTTTCATTTTACGTTTTAGGGTTAAAGGATTATTGGAAAGATTATTGGAAGGATTATTGGAAAGATTATTGGAAGGATTATTGGAAGGGTTTAGGGTTTAGGGTTTAGGATTATTGGAAGGATTATGACTACGTACCTGGAGAGGAACCACGACAAGCACATTACACCACAAACGCACCGCATCACGTACTGCACCGAAAGCAAGAGGAAGATTGCTTGATAATTCTTTTCACGATCACTGAGCTTTGCAGAAAAATATTTTACTCATACAAGGAACTACGTAGGTTATCAGTGAAATATGTTATAAATGAGTAAAATTAAAAAACAATAATTCTAAAAATAAAATTTTACTGAGGGGCAAAATAGTAAAGGAGAGGTGGAGGGAGAAGGCTGTGGTGGTGGAGGGAGCAACACCCAAAAGTTAAAGGGACCAAAATATCCACAGAAGTCATGTGGGCCAGGCACAGTCCATGAGCCTTCATTTTTGGAAAAAATATTCATTTTGAATACAAGAAAAATACGCAATTAACTCTTAATATGTCGTAAATCTAAGTGTTTTTAATTTGTCAAATAACTATATACAAATATTTTACTCAGACTAACATAGACTTTGTAAGATAATTCAATAAACTTGTTTGCTTGCTTATATAGGAAAATTATGCAAAATCATAAAACTTGAAATCCTTGAATGGCTAAACATATTTGATTTTTGTCGACTAACTAAACTTATATCTAAGATAGTCATTTAATCTTGTTGTGCGAAAAATTCATCTGGATCTGAATCAAAACTAAATAAGATATCTCAATTTGAAAGTTTAAAATAATGAATTTATGAATAATAAATTTATGGTTTGTTTTATTATATATTATTTTTTAAAAATTTTTTAATATATGACTTAAATTCTACTAATTATTTATTTCTCTTTATATTATATATATATATATATATATATATATATATATATATATATATATTAGTTATAAAAAAAATTGAGTTTGAATATTATTAGATGGCTAGATTCCGTGCTTATTGCGGTTAGGAATTTACCATAATGTATTATGTGTTACTTTATTAAATGCTATAAGTTTTTTTCATAAATAAATTAAACTACATATTATATATTTTATTTAATAAAATGATAATACATTATATAAAAATATTGATTTAAATATAATAAAATTATAACATATTAAACTATGTAATAAAATATATAATTTTATATGTGTATATAAATGATGCAATTTTAATGTTAGATATTTTATTAATATTTGTGTTTAAATTATGATTTATATATAGTAATAACCACAAATAAGAGTTTTTAAATATATAATTTTTTCTTAAATTTTGTAATAATATATTTAAAACATAGTAACTAAAAATATAAGTTAAAACAAGTATATTAGAATATATATATATATTTATTTATTTATATATTGATATGTTATAACATAATGTAATGATAAATTAACTAACATAATGGAAAAAATGTTAATCTTTATATTAATGTTCGTGTTTTCTTCTGTTAACTTAAACCATCGTTATTAAACTTTACCTATTATTCTAATATATATACATTTAATTTTTAGTTAATTAAGTTAGTATTTTACTTAAAAGATCATGAAAAAAAAAGTAAAAAAACTTAGGTAGGTTAATATTAGGGAGCTAGCTCTACCCCTTCCTCCTTTACGTTTGTTGTCACGGGAGCCATCATAATGCTTAAAATGAGTAAACTACTCATAATTTGTTTTTATGATGTTAAATGATTGTCTTTTATGATGTTTAAATGTTCTAGGAACTTGATAAACTATGTTAAAATGTATGCGATGTTAAAATCTGTGTTGAATGTATGATATTATTAATTGATTATCAAGTTTGTTATCTCTTTTAATTGATTAAGCAACTTATTTAATTGATTAAAATTGTCTTATGCACACCTCAAAGGTTAGTTCTTTGTTTTAATTGATTAAGAAAATAACCTAATCAATTAAAACTGATAGTGTGATATATATATATGTCGTTAATTCCTTTTGCAGATACAAAAAATATTCTAGAAACTTTCATTTGTGAAACAAGAACATCTTTTGTGAAGTTTTCAAGCATTCTTGGAGACTCAAAACATCAATCGAAGAAATTCAAAGTCGCAAGTCTTTAAGAATGAGGAAAAATATCTAGGAAAAGTCAGAATTATGTTTTCTTTGTAATATCATCCTAGAGATATATCAGATTTTATTTTTCTATAATTTATGTGAATTTTAATCACTTTTGGAGTGTAGAAAATATTACAAGTGTGTATAGTCTTTCTCTTACAAATTAATTATTATCGTGGTTAGAGATTTAAAGTACAATCTTGTATCTCCATAATCTTGAATGAGTATAAATTTTTGTGTAATTTTTTGCATTGTTTTTGCTTAATAATTTCATAATTGTTTAAAAAGTTAAAAAGTTCATTAAAAAAATATTTCAAAAAAATAAAGATAATTTTAAACCAATTAATTTTCTCTTAATTGAAATATATTATCGTCACGCATTTAACAACATGAGTTTTTGTGCTAAGGCTTTAAAAGGTCCCAATTAAATGAGCCAAAAATATAACAATATAACATATTTCTAGTGAAAGTCAGAATCAATCTATAAGTTATGAACTTAAATTACACTTCTAATTTTTTAGGAAACAAAATAATTTTCCAGATGATTTTGAAGGATTTTTTGGTATTTATAAGAATGAGTCATTCGATAAAGCTGCTTCTATTTTCGCTAATTTGATTACCACTTGAATAAATGTAATTATAACATTATTCATATAAATAAATAGGCGTGTGCATCACTGACAAATTGATGCTAACTTTACTTACTCTTTCGATCTAGAATATTCCACCACTACTGAAAAATTAATGTTGTACATTTCATGTGTTAATCGAGTTCATTGATTGGTTAGCTTATTTCATCGATTGATTTAAAAACATTCACTATAACCACTAAATAATTCTCTTCAAATTTTTTATAATCAAATCATTAAATTAAAATGATCATATCATTGATAAAATATTATTTTGTCCGACATTCTTAATATGTAAATCCAATTACTTATCTATAAATTCATCCATGCAATCTAAATTAAACTTCTTGCATTCATACTTATTTTTCTATACCTATTAATGTTTTATATAATGTAATAAATATAACATACTGAATTTAAGTCAAATATTTGTTTTTATATATCTCATTTCTTGTAATAAATTACTCCTAAAATAATTTTTAAATAAAATATAACTGGAAACATAAATAACACCAGTAGTTTTCAAATTATAAAAAGAATATAGAACGAAAGTAATAATTATATAGATAATTAATACTTTTTCTTACAATTATTCGGTAATGTTTGCCCAGCAACGACAACGTAATCCCAGTTACCCAACATTTTTTAATATTGGGCTTTATGGGCCTCAATTACAGGCACCCAATACTTTTTCGCGCTGTCACGGATAGAAATGTGAGTAAGAACGACGTCGTTACCGTAGAGTATATATAGGTTTTGCCGGAGGAACAGAAGCTGGTTTGAGCTTTTCAATCTTCACTTCATCTAATCGCATCGAATTGAGGTATGGCTCCGCTAATGCCGTGTTTGGTAGCGTAAGAGAATTATTAACTGGTCATTTTATTCGAATTTCGATGTTGGCGTTTAGTTTGAGCTTTTTGGGTTTTGGTGCTATAGGGAATTGGTCGGAGAGGAGAGTGATGGATTTCTCTTCGTTGAGAGCTACGTTGGATTCGAAGTCGTACGACAAAGTAGCGGATGTATGCGATAACCTAATGCTTCAGGTAGCTGTCTATTTGATTCTTGTTCCTTTTTCCCTCTCATTAGGGTTTGTGGCTTATTTCAAATTCACGAATCCTCACTCAGGTTGCTGCTGATGGCATTGCTTACCAGGACGATTGGCCCTACGCCATTCACCTCCTCGCGCACTTTTATGTTCACGACATGTATCTATCTTTCAATTCTCTTCTTGTTTTCGCGCTTTACATTATCGTATATCTCAATTAAATGACTATTACTTTACTCAGATGTTGCTTCTGAAATAAATAATTCCTGTCTTGATTGATTCTTTTAATACGTTTGTTTGTGTAACTCAATTTGGAAGTAATGTTATGGTTTTGCAGCAACAGTGCACGCTTTCTTTGGAAATCAATACCTTCGTCAATCAAAGAAAGCCAGCCTGAAGTCACCGCGGTTTGGAAAATCTGTCAGAAGCTTTGGTTACGTGACTATGGAGGAGTGCACGAGGCAATCCGTGGCTTTGATTGGAGTCAGGATGTCCAAGGCCTAGTTGCTGCATTTTCAGGCAAGACTTTAAAAGCCTTTTGTATGAGTCTATTCACTTTGTCACTTCGAATGTCTTCTAAACAATCCAAATGCGTATATCTTAATTCTGTTGTGTTTCTGAGACGAAATCTGTTATTCTAATTCATAAAAAATGTTTTCCTCACTTATATTATAACCCGTTGTTACTTTTGCTGAATGTTAATTATGGACTATGTGTTATACTTTTTGGGTCGGGAAATTGGTGAAGCGTCGATGTGTGGATCAATTAATTTGTTTTTGCTGTAACAATGTGCAGTGTTATTTTTGCTGCGATTGCCGTAATGGATAAAAGCAATGGTGCCTTAATATTAGCTTAGCGAGAACAAAATGTATTATATTTTAAACCTCAAAATTAAAAATATGTTTCCGTTGGACTTTCCTTACCCCTACATATATAACATGAAAAGATGTAGATGAATGTTGTAATTTCTTGGGCTAACATGTACTGAAGATAGATGATCTATGGATAATGCATAAAAGTAGTGAAGTAGTCATGTGCTGTGCTCCTTCCACAGTAACTTATGTTTTGTTTGATTAAATATGCTTCTTAGTTTTATATTTGCTTTACAAATAGCTTGAGTCCACAACAAATTTTTGTGCACCTATATTTGGTGTTTAGTACCATAAAATGTTAACAGCAATAAACTTTTCCAGAACTTTACACAAAGGAGATGTTCCAGCTGCTTCTCTCTGCTTATTCAACAATAAGTATTAAAGACACTGCTTTATTTCTGGGAATGAATGAGGATGATGCTACAAATTGTAAGTAATTTTCACTATCCTAGAAGCTTATGAAATTGGACATTGCTTATATTTTGTACTTGAACTGTCTGCACTCTCCTTTTCTTATTAATATTGTCTGGTTGTATAATTTAGATGTACTACAGCAAGGCTGGACTGTCGACCCTGCTTCTCAGATGCTTATTGTAAAGAAGCAACCTGTTGTGACTGAGCAGAAACTTGATCATAGTAAATTGCAGCGATTGACGGAATATGTCTTCCATCTTGAGCATTGAGGCTTTTAGTTATGAAGAATTAGATGTTTCAATTTATATGAAATTCTTCTCAAATTGATCAATCAAACATTCTATGTTCTTGAAAGTGGATGTATACTGTTGATAATTTTGTAGCCAACCTGTTTGTGTTTGCACTTTAGCACTGATTGGTGAAATTCACGTCCCACTTGGTAGCTGTTTGACAAGTCTCTCAGTATCTCTTATATGACAGTGGAATGGTTACAACTTTGCATATTGGACTTGTTTTGGGAAGAAATGTCCGTCTGTATATTCTGAGTATACAAAATATACAGTGTACTGAATGTATACTGTATAATTTGTTAAGGTGTTGTTACTTATTTCTTGAATCTAATTCTGTTTGGATGGTACTTTGATTTTCAAGTTAATTTTTTTCTCTTGTTTTTTTGGGGCTTTATTTTCCCATTGTTGATAAATATCTGAGAAGTGGTGTGGGTGTGTTGCTTCAACTCGCCATTATCCACCTTCATTCCTAAACACAGATTTAGTTAAAAACACATCCTATCTACTTTCTTGAAGAAAAAACTTCATGCTTCCTCACCTTCTCCTTCTCCAGCTCCGTCCCGACATTTAAGTGATCACTCTGAGCCATCAACTTCACCATATCCTGCTAGTCTATACTCTCCAATATCACCAGCAACTGCTGAGTCACCTCCCTGTTTTGACTGTGAAGTATCTTCACCTGCACCATCTATTGTGCCTGAGCATCCCCCTGATCCTTGTCCATATAGTGGCTCCGTACATCATCCCATCTCTTCACAAAATCTTGATTCTAAACTATCCATTTCCCCTGATTATTCACCTTCAGCTGCCCCTAACTCAAATTCTGCCAGCCACACTACTGAAGAAGTTTCTGATCTGTCCCATGGATCCAAGCGCCAGCAGGGTGAAGAAACATCTAAAAAATTGGTGTCTCAGATGCTTGCTCCTTCCTCTATATGTAAGTGTATCTGGTCATGTAGACTCTCTTTTATTTCTCATGCTTGGCTATAGTTGAATCTTGGAAGTGATAAGATTTGCATAATGGTGACAAGACAACATATTATTAAAGCATTCTTTCAAAAGTTTTTGTTATACTTTGTGGACCTACTAATCCTTTGGTGCCATGTTACTCAGTATTTTTTTTACACATCACCACCTTACATGCATGTCAATTACATTTAAAGAAATTGAAAGCAGTAGTAGTTTATATTACCTTTAAAATCACCAGTTCCTGTATCAGGTGCCTCGGATTTTTTTAAACATACTAAGTTAATTGAATTATGGTGTTCTCTTGATTTGCTGTATTTTCTTAGATCCTTCTTTTTACTTTTCCCTTTTTCCTTTATTCTTTGCAGCGTCAGCGAGTGGTGATTTCCGTGGGAAATCTTGCTAATGGGATTTTGTATGCTGTTAACTTCTTTTGTTTTCCCAATGATACCACATCTGATGATATGGATGTTGCCTGATGAAGGATCCTGGAGACATGCAATAATGCTCTGCAAATTTTGTTCAGAATACAGAAGGAAGAAGCTTCCGTTCAATTTTAATTTGCCTTAATTTTACTTCAAGCATGCAACCACCATGTAAAGCTCCGGTGGGTAGAGGGTCAAAGCCTGAAAATTGGCAGGCCTCTCATCTAGTACTACATGTTCTATGAAGAATGAAATTGATCCCAAAGGTATCAACTAATAAACACCGTGAGCAAGAGCAAATTGGCTTTCTGAATATTTAGCAAAGAGATAAATTAGTAGTCGAGACAGATATTTTACAAGTGACTAAAAATAGTAAACTGTGTAGTGGTGACTTTTCAAGTAGTTCAAAACATAATTTTTTTAATGATACAATAATATACTTTTGAAATAAAGAATTTATTCCCCAAAGGCTAGAATCATCTTATTAACAAGAAGTCAACAAATTTACTTCAAATAATACTTAATGCATACATATCCTCAACAGTATCCTTCTGAATGCCATGGGTTTATGCAGATAATATTATCTTCAACGCAATTCATTTACAACAAAGTTTACAACAAAGGGATTTCTTTGTGCTCATTTTTCTGTTTCCATGATTAATATGATTCAAGTCTGGTCTAAAGGTGTTTTTACAAGTCCTTTAATGTCTCAACTTCCAAATCCGTGTAGAAGAGGGGATGTTCTTGCAATAAACATGCCTACAGATAAGGTTTCAGTAAGTGCAAACTAAATTTACATGAAAGCTTTAATGGTATCAAACCTTGCTGATTTACGTCTCAGATTAAAAGCAATTCGCTCTAAATTACAGGATTGATCTATGACTTTCATTGGGAGAGTTTTTTTTTTTTCTTTTTTAGTTTAAATTCAAGAATCATGAAGTTTGAAGAACCGTTCTAGCTGCTGGTTATTCGAGCAGAATGCTCGAGACAAAGAGGTTTCTCATCATCAATAAGATTTGGTTTGTAATATGAATCTTAAATGTTATATTAGTCAGATTTGTTGGAGGAGCTGAAATAGTAGAGGCTTGATGCTTTGATGTCTGTGTTTCCTTATCTTAGAAGTTGTATCAACAATATATTTTACCCTTTAAAATTGACACTTTTTGGTTTAGCTAAATGATACTATCACAGAATGTGTTCATGGTTTCCGTAAGTTAAAAGGGTCAAGTATAATCTTAAACTTGCAAACTGTATAAAATTCATTCCTTCTGAAATTAAGCTTTGGGCTATTGGACATTCAAATAGGTAAACTGTGAATTACATTGTTATATATATATATATATATATATATATATATATATATATATATATATATGTCGATTTCAATTGTGTAAATATGCAACGGAAAAGGATAGATGCAAAGTTGTAGAAAGTATGAAATAAAAGCTTGATTTTCCATATCTTCCTTTGCAGTGATTTTATTTTGCTCTAAAAACTACTACATGACAAAAAGAATTTCAAAAGGCTGAGCTGTAGAGAAGAACAAACAATTATGCCCCAAATATAACAATTTTATTTCATTGATCTTACAAGCTATCACATAATAAACATCTTACATTTGAATGTACATCTAATAAGGGATAATTAGTTCAAGCCTAAGGTCTTAAGAACCAGTTAAATGTCACTGAAATCATCACAACTATATAAGAAGTATGAAAAAAAATGCTTGATACGTGACAATTTTCTAAGGTTAGTTTCTATGCTTCCAAATAGTAACAATGCCAAAGTGGTAATTAGACCAATAACTACTTCCCTAATTTCAAAATCAAATAAAAAAAGGTTGGTATAAATGATATTATACCACCCAAAAAAATCATGACAGTTGATGCTACATTTGTTTTTTTAATAATTTATATTTACTGTTCTCTTGTGATCGAGTTATCTCTCTTTTATCTTCAACTTTATTACAGATATACTTAGTCACGAGAACAAGACAAGATGAGCATATTAAAGTAGTAAATCATATTCTAACTACGTCTATAATGCTTCTACTATCAACTTGACTTATATTACTGTACCTAGTTGGGTGATTCCTTCAGTAACTTTTCACGAATCTTTTTTTTTAAAAGCATTATTGCTTTTTAGAGTCTCTTGTACCTGATAAATAAGAAAATTAGGTAAGGCTAACAATAAAGATATAGAAAATTAACTACTAAAAACATATGTAACTATATGATTAACTAATCCAACCACCAACAATTTAAAAGGTATGGTATGAGTCACTCTTTTACACAATAAATGCCTGAATAATGTGGGTAAGACCCAGAAAATTTGTATGCTTTAGTTTTACTGTTGTTGTGAGTTTCAGAGTGTTAAAAGCCTTTTTGGCGCAATAAGGCCAACAAAAACCAAAAAATCCACCTAATCCCCCTAATGTAGTATAGGAAAACCATGGTATTGAATTCATGGAAATGGTTCTTATTAAGCTTTAGATTGTATGGTTTACCTTGCTAAAAACAAAATGCAATAAGGGAAAAAAAATATAGAATGACTGAAACTATCTAAACGAACCTATACACTGATAAATGCAGAATGCTAGGAAAGATGGTACTGCTAGACTACTAGAATGATGTGGAATGACTATTTTCAGAATATGAAAGTTCACCAAAAGATTTACGAGCTAATGCATGCAACTAAACTACTTTATTCTAATAAAATTAATTATGCAATTAGAATATGAAATAAGACGCAAGAACTAACATATGCTTACAGATTTTTTTACTGCACCCTTTTTAGATTCAGAGTTCAGATCCTAGACAGCCAATGCAAATGTGATATGACCTAATCCTAGAATCAACCAATTCATGCAAGAACTATAGAAACCTAAAAAAATCCTGTACAGGTGGTACTTTCATGTATTAAAAATTGCAATTTAAAAATATGCTCGGTTGAATCAGAAATCAAAGTCTAAAATTATAATGCAGATATGAATGCAATGTGAGTAACCCTATAATTGACCATCCGGAACCACTAACATTTCTCTTTCGTTTCTAACGTGATTTTTTATTTTGTAGGTTCTGTTAATCAAAGTTTTTGTACCAGCCCATGTATGGTTTCACTTTCTTTTTGCTGCAGCTAATCTACAGTTGTAGTTTCTATTTTCTGGATTAATATTTTGATCTTCATTAATTTTTTAGAGTTGTAGATGTAAAATTAGATTCAGATAAAGAGTTTAGTTAGCTTTTCTTAATCTGTTTTTGACTTTGTTCTCTACGAATGTAATCATTTTGCTGATGCATTCAGTTTTACTAATTTGTTTTTACTTTGTTGATTCAATCAGTTTATTAACTTACTAACCTTACTATTTTTCTTTTCTGTACTTGTTCAGTTGCTAACTCTACTAATCTGTAATAACTGTTTTTGCTAGCCTAGTCAGTTTTACTAACTGTTTTTGGTAATATCAGTTGACTAACAGTTTTCTTATACAAACTTTTTCACTAATTAGCTAACTTGTTCCAGTTTCTGATTTTTGATTTAGTTCTGACTTTCTTTGCAGGTTTAACTACTATTTCCTATTCTCTATTCTAATTGGTTTGATTCTATCACAATTCTTCTTATTAATTTGATGTTGTTACAGGTTTGCCTTACTGAATTTAGTTTGTAGATTTAGCCGTATTTCTTTAGTGATGCTATTTTCGCTGATTTTCATTTCAATTCTAGTATTCATAGGCACTATTACATTTCTTTCTTGTTTTGTGTGTAGCCTTGATTTTAATTTGTTTGTTTGTTTCAATTCTGTAGAGGTTGATTTAGTTTGAGTTAGTTCGTATAGTTACTTTTAATAGTTGATTTAGTAGTTCTTTGTTGTCTTTAGTTAGTCTTTCCTGTTTACATATGATTTTCTGATTTCTTTATTGTGTCAAGTAGTTCTGGTTTTATTTTTACTTTGACATTTTAAATTTGCTTATATAGTTTACTTAGGATTTCTTTGCTGTT